TGCAGTTAATCATTCTGTAAGATAATTACTTTTATATATATCTGCTTTTAGATAAGCATACATAAATCGTAAAATATTTACATTTCTTTCGAGATGATAATTATTGATTTACTAGGAAACGCGATATCGCAATTCAAAATATATTGTTGTCCAAGAACGTGGCGATTATTAGGTGTTAATTTGCCTTTGGAAATTTATATATAAAAATTACTTGTAATAGTTATAATGTGTGCCTTCTATTTAACGACACAAGCATTCTATCTTTTTTTCAACATTTAATGACAACGAAGACAGAATGATACTTGTGTCACAAAGTGGGGGCTGAATGACACATGCGTATTACAGTTAAATGGGAACCTATACCTTTCTCTCTCGCACAGATGTTAGCTTCAGCTCGATGCACGGACGGTATAGACAATTCTCCTTCCAATAGTATATGTTCTAAGGCGAAACAGTTTCAATCATTGATTCATTCACGGGAGATGTATTAGTTCCAATTGTCTGAGTTTTTTTTAAGTCGCTTCGATCAACGTCTTCCGAGATCAGATACGTGGCGATCGATTTCAAATCGATTTTATCGAGAGTTAATTAAGTATATTGTTCGGGATGGATTTGAACATGGATCTTTGGCTTCTCAGAAAGCTGCCGCGCAGCTTCTCGCGCCACATACGATCGCCACACGTCGTGTATATATCTAATCTTTTCAGTTATTCAAATAAACGTAATATACGATGAATATAAATAAGAAATTAGATATTTAGTATTTGTTTAATATAAGAATTATAGAAAATGTCCGATTTCTAAAATACGTTCTATAAATATTTTAAATAATTAATTAATTTCATGTATAAGTAGATATAAGGTGTATGATAAATTTACTATCATATATTTAAATACTTAATAACTGATGGAAATTTTCATACTTACATTGATAGGAATTATCAATAATATATCTTGCAATTGTGAAAGAATATTGTTTGAAATTATATTATTTAATAAGAATTAACAATTTCATTGGTAAAATCATAATTTCCGAGCTTTAATACAGATTCCATGCCACCAAATATTATTGCAGTTTGGTAGCTATCTATAGTGAATATTGGCTTGCTTGCACTGAAGCTTCCCATTACCTGTGTTTAAAAAAATGACGAATGGAATCGAATGTTGAAAACCTAATTCTTATCCGAATTTTCATCGTAATATCTACTTATATATTAATTATTATCATTGTTTTTTTTATGTAAAAGTATATTATTATTTTTCTAATTCAACGTCTCTAGAAACAACTGATTGCCTAAACGATTATTTTAATGTACAAAAAAAATTATTGGTTTCTTAAAATTAATTGAAAATATTTAATTTTATCGTAAATAATTGATTACAGACCTTCTTTTCTCTTAAGCTAATCACTTCAACTGCGCCAGTACCGGAACCCCCAACCAGAACGAGATCACCGTGAGGATCCCCATTGAAATATTGCACTGTGTAAAGAAACTCGCCGGTCAAAGTCGACGGTCTGTTATACGGATTTATTGTTTCAATAAGTTTCGCACTCATCAGATCCCATACTTGCAGACTATCGCGCACTATCCAGGAGCCTGTAAGGATGTGCGTTTCCTAAACGAAACGTACGTATTTTACAAAAGTGTATTTTTATAACTTAATTATGTCGATAATTAGATGTTAAATCGTACAGATATGCAATAAAAATATTCTTACGTGCATATCGATGGCGTCACCGCATATGTGAGGGCCTTTAATAATTCTCACTGAACCAGTTGGAACTCTGATATCCCAAATCTGCAAAAAACTTTTCTTTCAACACAGTTTTCAATTGTTAATTGATATTAACAATTAGATTTAAATTTAAAAATATTTAACTGCAGTATTGTATGCTTATCTATAAATATTTGTGCTATTTATAAATATTCAAATAAAAATATATTATAATAAATTGTCAGTATCTACGTTTACAGAAATACTTTTGTGATAAATCGTTACATTTTTTCAAGAATTACCCTAACAGTATCGTCCCAGCCGCCAGTAATAATTAGATCGGGATACTCTTTGTGAAATCTTGCGGCAAATATTTTCATTCGATGAAAATTTCCGGCTTTACTTTCTGTCAGAACCTCTTCCTTCCTTTTGTACGTTAGTATCAACTGAAATATATTTTTATACATATAAAAATGTTATTGTTGCAAATGATATTCCAACAAAAATTTTAAAGTCACATTTATAATTGAATTAATTATTACAATTATAGGCTATTATTGGCTATATACTAATTCTAGGCTAATTATAGGCTATATACTATAATACATATTATAAGGCTATACAATTCTAAAATATTTAATAATATTTTTAATAATGCTAACTTTAGTGGTTTGTAGGTTGTAAAGTCGAACAGCTGCGTCTTTACCGCCGGAAACCAAGTAATCTCCGGTGACACTAACATCTATCGCATTCACCTCATTCTTTGATTCTGCATAAAAATAAATATAAATGGGGAAGTAAGACTGCGTGCGACGTACGTAATTGAGAATCATTCGTCTACCGAGTACAAATCTAGAAAAATCTTTAGTGTGTGTGTTGCACATAAAAATAATTCCGCAGGCACTGGAGGCGTAGAAGATCTCGCTGCGGATCGGATTGAATCTGCAGCACATAATTGGCACGGAACTTTCCAAACCAGATTTGAACGTTCCTTCCAAATCGCCAGTCTCACCGTTTCGAAGCTGCAAAAAAATGAAGTGACAGGTTATACCAATTTTTATTAAATCACGCACGTAATCCTACGCAAACCGAGACAATAATCGTATACCTGAATACCGCCGTTTCCAAAACCCGTAGCTATAAGGTCACCAGTTTTAGAAAAACGCGCGCTGTAGAGGCCACGCAAATTCTCGCCAAAGCGCATCTCGTGCGTTATCTGACAACGATTTTTGACGCTGTGGCGTGCCGTTTGAAGCCAAGAGGGTCGTTGCGATTCTACTTCATTCTATAAAATAATGAAACTAATATTAGATATATTAGTAGTAATCTTAACTGATCAGATTAATCAATATATTTATAGCCACTTGATTCTTACCTTCTGTCTTTCTTTGCCTCTGTTTTCTTCAACGAGTTTACATATAAAACAATATGAAATCAAAATGAAAATATATGTAGGATTTGATATATAAATATATATAATTATACTAACTGCACAAATTTATACAATTGAGAAAATAGCGAAGGGTAAACATGATAAAATATTATAAATATAAAATAAATAATGTTAACATTACAAATGTTATAAACAATTATTTTATAACTTAATAGATGAACTATAATAAATATTTTTCAATTAAAATTACCTTCGTCATTCGAATTTCTAGAATGTCCGTGTTCATGATGCCGGTTTCTCGACTCGACGAAATTCATGTTTCCCTCAGCTCTAAATTCTTGATAAAAAATGTCACTTTAATTAATTGTCAAATGCCCGTCATTAAATCGTGGTTAGATTTTGATGTAAAATTGCTTAAATCGTTGATGTCCTTCTTATTTTCCTTTGAACTGAAAATAGCCGCGCATCCAGCATCCGATAGCCGCGGTGTTTCAAATCTGATAAGATCGGAGCAAGAAACTAAACTTAACTTAAATTTACGATTAAAAATGACAATGTCTTTACTATATTTATCACCGACGAGATACTGTTAAAGACCGCTGTCAGCCCTGGGCAAATTGCTTAAATTTTAGCAATTACTTAACAGCCACGCGTTATAACTCCCATAAGGGTGTACCTTTAGTAGTATTTCGATTCTCGTCGGTACTGTTTATCAATATAAGATAGAATTATTAATTTCTTATTATTTATATATGACAGAAAGATTAGAACAGGAACAACGAATTGTATAAAAATTTTGATTGAATTAATCGCCAATTAAATTAATCAATTAAGTTTAATCGAAGTCACTCTGATAAAATCATATAATATATAATGCTACAATATATATAAATAATATAATATATAATACATTAAATAATATGTAAATATACATTTTATATAATTTATATTATTTATTTAATCATTACAATATTTATATCGTCATTTTAGAGGCCCGAGTAATAATAATGTTTTTATATCATTTATGATGTTACTAGATGCAATGCGCGCCACGCGCTGATAACTAGATATCGTGGAATAATCGTTCAGTACTGCCAAGTGCCAGTAGTGGCAGTATTCCCAAGACTAGTAGTTTATGTCGCAACATAGCCTATATCGGCGCTCCACCGCCACGGGACGACAATGAGCGACAAGATGGCACGTCAGCAGGACTTCAACGATCTCTTCAACGTGAGAAATAATTTCTACATCGGCAACTATCAGCAATGCATCAACGAGGCGCAGAAGATCAAGGTGAAGTTATCCGATTCGGGCCGTGTGCGTGACATCCCGCGGAGACGCGATGCCACGCGCTGCTCCGTTTTCAACCCCCCAACGTGGGCGGCTGTCATTAACGTTCCTCCTAACAAATGCCGACGTTTCTCTGATGAAAGTCTTTCAGATTCAATAGGATACACGTCACACAATTTTTTATGTTATGTTGTGTTTAAAAGTCAAATGGAACTTTGACTCGGTAGTGTCGCTGTCAAAATATTAAACTTTCAGATATTGAGGCAAGACTTTGAAGGTGATAAATAACTCTTTAATCGAGTCTCTGCAAAGTCTGTCTCCAAATGAATCTATGAATCTACATACGAAAGAAAAGTATAATAATTCTATAATGAATATATCGTACGGAGTTTTTTAAATAATATATATTGCCTGGTTTGCGAAGTATAAACTCTGTTTCGCAATTGTACTAACATAAGATTTCGCCACCTTCCGCAGACGTCCGTGCCAGAAGTGGCCATGGAGCGTGACGTCTTCCTCTATCGCGCGTACATAGCGCAGAGGAAGTTCCGCGTGGTGCTGGACGAGATCAACAATTCGTCGCCGCCGGAATTGCAGCCGCTCAAGACCCTGGCCGACTACTTCGCCAATCCGCAGCGCCGGGAGGCTATAGTCGCCGAGCTGGATAAGGAGACCAAGAACGTGAATTACGACAACCACAACCTCCTGATCGTGGCCGCGACCATCTACTACCACGAGAAGAATCTGGAGGCCGCCCACCGGGTGATATGCGCCGCCGACAACCTCGAGTGCATGGCGCTGACGTTGCAGATCTACCTCAAGATGGACCGTCTGGATCTGGCTCGCAAGGAGCTCAAGGCGATGCAGGAGAAGGACGACGACGACACCTTGACTCAGCTCGCTCAGGCGTGGATAAACATCAGCAACGGTGGCGACAAGCTGCAGGATGCTTATTACATCTTTCAGGTGAGGGAAGACGAATCGCGACGTTGATCTCTTTTTTTTTTTTTTTTCTTTGGAACGGAAAGCACGAATACTTTACATTCGAATTTTCGTTTTCTCTTTACATACCTAAAAATTATCTGATATTTCTCGACAAAGCTGTTAAATCATTTTAGGAAATGATCGACAAGCATTCCAGCACGAGCATGTTGCTGAACGGCCAGGCCACTTGCTTCATCGGACAAGCGAAGTACGAGGAGGCGGAGACAGCCTTGCAAGAGGCTCTCGATAAGGATAGCAATAATCCAGATACGTTGATCAATATGATCGTCCTCTCGCAGCACATGGGCAAACCGCCGGAAGTGGCGAATCGTTACCTGAGTCAGCTGAAAGATTCCCACTTGGAACATCCCTTCGTCAAGGAGTACTTGCAGAAGGAAATTGAATTCCATAGGCTTAAGGAACAGTATTCATCTTCCGCCTGAGTACCTCTCGGCAGATTATGGCATTCCGTGGGATAAGATCGATCAAGTATACGGATTACGAATGGACCCGAGCGTGGAATAGCAAGTTGACTTCATTGAAAGCGTCCACTGAGCAAAGCTTCTCCTCTTTAGCTGAAAAACTTTTCTTCTGAAGCTGAAATGTCCAAATAGATCCGACAACTTACGGACCTCTGCATTTCGGAACTTTAATTACTGAAAAATTTACATTTTTTTTTTATATTCTATTTTTGTTGAGAGTGAATCAAAGTCCATGTAATATTAACTTTTAGGCTTTTGAAAATACAGTTTTAGGATGATGTTACGCGTATATTTCCAACAGCCTCTAGTTATCTTTCGCGGAATAAAAAACGCGCAATTTCCCGAATTTAATGACATCTCGTTCTAGATGAATAAGTTGCTCTGCAATATTGAGATATTGTTTTTATATTAAACTAGATATATATAGACAAATAATAGATAGGCTTAGCAAAGCTGTACGGATAATGGAAACGTTCGAAATCGCAAGAACCGAGTTGTATGTGACTGGAAAAGTCGCTCTTATCCATATTATCCTAATGTTACACTTTCATTACATAATCACGAAAATATGGCTGCCATTTTGTAAAATTATAAATTATCGAAACTAGAGACCATGTCGAGTTTAAGCATCTCTTCATACAATATTCGTATTGCCAATTTAGAGATGTAACAGATAGGCGAAATATTATAATAAAATATTTCGTACATTATGAATACGCAAGAGCTGGGAAATGTGTTTTTTTAATTTCCAAATTGCCCCGTAATGTTTGTAAATATCCTTATTATAAAGATAATAACTTATTATAATTGACTTAGAAAAAAATAAAGTCTTACATCGTTAATTGTATACTTGTATACCTAGAACCTAGCTCATCAATCAATCTTCCTCCTAGTTTTTCATAACAAGTCTGTAAATTCATAAACGTGCATGCAATTTGTTGAAGCTTGATTTAGAATTCATAAAATATATAGTGCAAATAATTCTATATCTAAAAATTTAATGTAAATAAGCCATTAATTTTGAGTGATTCAAATTTAAAAACAAATTTAAATGGGACATGGAAATTTTTCAAAAAGATTATAAAAAACTGATATCTCTTATAAAAGTTTCAAGATTAATGGCATAAATAATCCACAAGTAGACATATATAAAATAATTTAATCCTTTTATTGGTGGCGGTGGGTTTCAAAGAACCGTATATTAACAGAGCACGCTGATTTCACAACAGAATAAGTGTCAAACTGTACATAAAACATAACTATTTCGTATTAAGTCCTGTATACGTCCTGTTTCTTTAACGGAGTTATATATTATATACATGAAATTATATTATTCCTGGATGTTCACCATGTGAAGCATATCGTTATTGTATGATTAATAGTGTGAGACCAAAGTTAACATTGTTAAATTAATAATTAAATCCCAGGCTGGATGTATTATCGAAACTACATGTGATATGACTCTCTTTATGTAGGTCATTAAAAAAATATCGATTATAATCCTAGTTATTGATAATTTACATTATCATATATTTGATATTCTTAAACTAATATCACAATGGCTCGAGACAGTCAAGACTTCTGATGTTTGTGCATGTGTTCTGATAAACGATGTTAGCTGCTGGCGGCACAACTGTCTTCTGACAATTCATTTATACAACTACGTAATGCGTGATCCGTTTAAATTCGCGTCATATAAATCTGGAAAAAACGTCTCTACTCTGCCTTCGTGAAAAATTCTAAAATTGCGTGACTTCCTTAAATCCGTAACAGATGTACAAATTCTATGTAAAAAATCGTTATTTCACTACAGACCATATACACAATTCATCTCATGCAACGTCAATATTAAGAAGAAGAAGAAGAAGAAATAAGAATTATTCGCGAATGGATACAATGTGTTATATTTACACGCACGCGGACTCACTTTCCTACATGTGATGTGCGGTAAACTTAAGTGAGAAGCGAAAAGAGAATTCGTGGCAGGATTCGCATAGAGAAAAGGAGGAAGAAAAAGGAAAAAAAGAAGAGAAGAACATAATAAAGATGCCTTGTTGTACTCCCAAATATTGTTCATCACATTCAAGAAAATAAAATCAATTCTCTCCGTATGCTAACAACAAACCATGTCGCTATCGTACATGTCACGTCATTTAATATAACTTAAAAAGGCAAATTACAAGTCCGCTGTCTAAGGAGGTAACCATTGTGTGTGTGTAACGAACTACAATAAAGTTTTCTCTCGGGCAATGCAAAAATTCACATTTAATTATATTACGATATTACGTTTTTTTTCTCTCTTAAAGATTTTTCGTAGGTAAAATAAATACTGATTCACGTTCCCGCGGAACATGTTTAGAAAATATTCGCATAAAGGCTCTTGATTGTCTCATTGCAGCTCCATTGAATTGCGACACCAATAGAATTTCTCTTGATACATAAGTATGTTCTATATCTTCACCGAGAAAATGCAACAAATAGTTATATACCTATTTATAGCTACTTTGAACTATAAACTTGTATAGCTATTTGTAGCTATTTTTAATTATAAGAATTTATGATAAGAATTATGACTATTTATTAATGTGTTCACATAACAAAAAAAGTTTTCTAATCAAATTCAATATCACTGCAGTGAGAAAATAAGGGTCTCAACATGAGTTCATAAACTCTCAATGAGTAACCATTACAATGATACTGCGAAGAACTATTAAAACGATAACTTGATAAATTTTATAGGTGCCGGTCAACCTTTGTTGCTTTAATAAGAACTGAAAAAACTGTTTTATAAAATAACACGATATCGCCTGTTTTTATAATTATAGCATGAAAATTTCATTTGTCAACTGAACTTTTGAAATCAATGGAAGCAATCGGTATAAGCGTAGATTTACATCGTTTCTTGAAGACCACATTCCTGTTTTCTACACTTTCAAGATGGTTAACAGAGATAATTATCGTACCTGTACAACAACACGATTATATAGAATTTTCAATATAATCCTCTTCGGAAAAGGTGAAACTTTATACAGATTTGCCTATCGTTATTAAAGTTGGTTGAACCTGCAAATAAAACGGTACAGAGTGGTGACCTGCAAGATACGGAAAATATCGTGTGTCCGTTCACTGTTTCTGTTTGTACCACTGAGCCAATGTATCTTTCAGATCGACAGTACAGGTAAATATAAAAAAAAAGAAAGAACACTTTCTTTGTAGAACAAACCGTTTCATAAAAATAGAAGTACTTATAGTAGCAAACGAGCTATTAAATCGCTCTACGACTTCAATCTTTTCATACAGTTAAACTTGTCAATCGAGCGCAGAAAAAAAATCGGAAATCAAGTGCCTTGAAATCAACTCCAACCTTCACTGCAAATATATCTCCGAGGACCGTGTCTGTCGGAGATTTAATGTCGCGATTACGCGCGATGGAAAATATAGTGTCAGACACGAGTAGACGACAAAGCAAGCGGCGAGATCGAGAAGACCGATCGATCGATCGAAAACTCGATTCATCTTTGAAGGCGAGTTCCCTCGAACGTGTGATAGTGATCGGAGCTTTCAGTGCGCACGACACTAAAGTCTTCAAGAATTCTCACGACGGTTCTTCCGTCGAACTTGTACATAACTTTTTACCTAGAGAGATGCCGTTAGGGCGATTCTAGAAGGTAAGCGCGGGCGCGCGGCGTCATTTTACGTATGCGACCACGGCTACTTATGCTGATGCCGGGCTCGGGCACGCTCTCGTCGCTGTCCTCGGCGTACGAGCGACGCTTGATCTTGCGACGGTTTCTCACCGGCAGCGTCGCACTATCGTCGCTATCGATCTCGTTGTAACAGGGCCGCTTCCGCGCCGAGGATCGCCTGGTGCCGCTGCTGTACCGCTGCCTCGTTGCGTCCTCCGACTCCGCATAATTGCACTGCTTCCGACGACTCGAGCGCGACGGTCTGCACGATTGTCTATACGAATAATCACTGTCCTCCGAGTCTTGATTGTTAGCGTTATGCTGCAGTTGCTGCTGCTGCTGCTGCTCCTCTTCCTCCTCCTCCTCCATCTCTCGTTCCTCCCGCTCCTCCTCCTCGTCGTCGTCGTCGCCCTCCTCGCTCTCGCTGTCGCTATTGTCGTTTTTCCCGTTGTTAGCGGTGTACTTTTGGTTCTGCACACTCTCGCTCACCAACTTCCGCGACCTGGTGTCCCGTTTGATGATCTTTTCCTCCTCGCTCTCTTCCTCCGTGGAGTCCTCCGGCGCGAGGAACTCCTCCTCGTCCTCCTCGTTGTCCTCGTTCACCTTGGTCTCCGCAACGTACTCGTCGTCGTCATCTTCGTCGTCCGGGATAACGTGCGATTTCACTTTAGCTTTGGATTGCTTACCGTTCTTAATATTTTTGCCGCGATTCTTGCGAACCTGCTTGCTGCGACCGCCGGGCGTGTAATTGTCTCCGGAATCGCTATCGGCACTAACACTTGGCCTCGCTGTCCGTGCTCTAGTTCTTCGGACAGGGGCACTGTCACTGCTGTCCGTGTCTGACGTTACCTCAGACTCACTAGCGTCACTATCACTATCCTTCGGTTTCTTCGAGACAGTCGACCGGCAGATTCGCAATTTCAACGTTGGCCTGGACGGGCCGGAACTAGACCGTTTCGTGTAACCGTTCGTCATCCGTGACGGACCTATAAAGCAAAGATAAAATTAAAATTAATTATTTAATTATAAGAAACTAGCCAGATGATGAAGATAATAAAGATGTAATAGGTTGCAGTATTGATTATTATCGGTGTTGATAACAATCTCGATCTATCGACTATCTGATATTTGAAAATTAGACCATATAGGGCATACATCGTGAAGAACTTGCCAAACTTTGTGATCAATGATAAATTAGTAAAAATTAATTATTTGGTTCTTTGATTTTAGTGTATATATATATATTTTTTTTTTCTTCCCTTAAAACATAAAAACATAAAATATAAATATGAAAATGTCTTTTTTCGAGTTCAAAAATATGCAAATCAAAATAATTTTCTATTGAAAAGACTTAAGAAAATATTTGCAAAATCTGACAAACTCCTTTCGCGATGTATGTATAATAGAGTGATAATTTGGAAAAAGAGGTACACGCGCGTACCAGGTGCAGATATGTCAAAATCATTCTTTTTCTGCTCTTTACCCGACTGCCGATAATCATCGTCATCATCATCGTCTTCCTCGGTGTCTTCATCCTCGTCGCTAGGAACAGATTTTGATTTGGAAGGTCCTGCACATAAAACAATTTGTATTTTATCACGTTTACACGAGGAAGTAAAATAAACGCTTACCTGTGCCATTACTTAAACCGGGCTTCTTCTTCTTCTTCTTCTTTTTCTGCTTCCTCTTTCCTTTCACTTTTGTTTTATTATCATTGCATGTATGCGTTTTATTAGTACGTCTACGCGCCGATTTCCAATTTGAAAGTATCCTACGCATGTGCTCCTCGAACATGGCCGAAAGTCTTATTGTCATCGAATATATCTGCGTGAACAACCGAATGTTTAAGGAAATGTGGAGTGATTCGTTTGCGAACGAAGCAGGTGTTGTATTAACTTACCTTCGAACGTTTGTTGGTATTAAAATTTCTACTATTTTGAAATATCAATCTCATGTCCTTCATAAATTCCACTGGTGTCTCGTAATTGCCGCCTAACAAATCCTCTTTGACAGTACGCAAGTCCATCGGCGTGTCTATTATTTGATGGTACTCCGGATGTTCGAATCTGTCCACCGGTTCCCTGCGAAACGATCGGTGTCTCTTCAGTCACATATTTCTTAAGATACGGGGAAAAAAAATATTATCCAAAACTTATCTCCTCTCGACTTACCTGAAAGGTATTGAATCTTCGCACTGCCACAGGCTCTCCAACAATTGGCGACACGCCACTTTCCAGTCTTGTGAAAACTCCTGCATAGGTAACTTCTTATTCGACGTGGATTTTGGTTTACTCGTCGAGGGTTTGTCCTCTACATCCACCTCCGATTCAGAGGAGTGGTACGTGTCGTTCAACTGATGATACACCGCCGGAACATCGACATCGGTGGTTTCCCTATGTGCAAAACGTCATTCAAATTAAGTAGAGAAGTTACACGAAAAGATTCTGCAAATGCAATTTTTGGCACAATGTATATATCTTACTTTATTATACGCAGACAAAGGTCAGTGACTATTCTGGCCTTCTTTACTATGTGACTGTGCGGTTCGTTGAATTGTTCAGCGTTCGTTGCTAAGTATCTAACATCAAATTGTGCCGATGTGATCCTTCTGTAGAAATGATTCTCGAAACGGGCCTTTATAGTCGACAAGTCGATCGGGTACTCGACAATATACGCGTAAGTTGGATAAAGACTGAGATCCACCGGCACTACGAATGGCTCTGCGATCGCGAGACTCATCACTTGATCCAAGCCTCGTATGATTCGGCGACAAGTCGCCTCTCTGTCGCCCATGGGCCACTCCTCCGAGTGGGGTTGATACAGTATCGCTTGTCTCTCCTCCGGTAAGACAGGAACGGCGCCACCGATTTCCGTGGGCACCCCTAAACGAGTAATTAGCGTATGTAGCACAATTAAAAAGTTTAACAATATATATATATATATATATATACCTATATATATATATTGAAATAAGTTTAAGTTCAAATTTCGACAGAAAGTCACATTGAAATATTATGTCAAAGTTATCTCTACAGTTCCGCTCTTTAAAATTTGAAATTAAACTTTGACGATTGAATTAAACGAGCTTACTATCTTCGTCAACAGGCTCGAGATCCCAAGGGCTCATTCGTTCGTATTCCCCATTGTCCCATCTGACGCGGAAACACATAAAGAACGATCCCGGAAACTCTTCGTCTAACGGCTCCATTCCAACGATCTGACCCATCCACCAACCGTCGTCGATCATACAACGAAATTTATCTCCCTCAGACCAACTTCGCGCCAACGCTGAATCGAAGGTCTGACGCAACACCAGGAAATCTAACACGTCGGCCATATCGTGGTACTTGATGGTAAAATTCCTCCCAGTAAGCCGAAAATCATCATCCATTAATGCTAATTTCAAACAGCACAAACGAGGCGGTCGTATTTCGTATTTAATACCCACTACTTTTACATACTCTTGTGCCTAAAATATAAACGGTTTCTGATTAGTATATATGTATTTGCATACATCTCTCTCAGCGTTAAAGATCTTAATGTCAAATATCCCAGTCCCATTATAATTAAAAACCCCTAGAATAAAGTAAACATACTCTAATATTTATCTTGGTCCATGGCTCGCACCGCGGACTAAGCTCATAAACCTTTTTATTCCTAATTGCATCTAAATAGAATTTATGACCTTGTCTGAAATATACTATTTCGTCGCCCATCTGCGGGTAATAAGGGGCTTTCCTCGGTATCACTTCGGTAAGCCACTCTGATGGACGATAACTTTCAGGAACTTCACGAATACCATTAGCTATTGGTATTGCCTGCTGGATGACAGAATACTTAGAAAGTGCCAAATTAAAATTAACGTAAGAAGATTAACGTAATAACTGTAAAAAAAAAAAATACTTTTTTCTTAGGACGCCTGCTGCGCCGTCTGTCCGTCTCACTCGGAGGTGTAACAGACCGTTTTTTCACGGGTCTCCGCTTACTGCGCTTGGGCGGTTCCAAATTCAGTCCGTGATCCGCGATCCAATCGGAATACTCAGTGCTGGAGTCTGTAGTGCTGTCGGAGCACATATCCTCCTCGTGAGCGGTGGAATCATTGCTGTTGTTACTGTCCGAACTCGCTGACGTGCCACCGTTCTATAAAAACGCAAGATATTACGACGCTCAGTCGATCACGCGTCTCCAATTCATCATTAACAGTACAAACATGAGCGCCACGAGTTATGCCCGTTTTCATCAATAAAGATTAACTTTAATACTCGGTTTAACTTACTCTTCATCTTTTTCCAATTCTTAGAACTGATGAAAAAGATGAAGAGTAAGTTGAGCTGAGATTAAAGTTAATCTACATTGGTGGAAATAGGCATTGATATTTAACAGTATTAAATAACGGCTTCTGTGAGGTACCTCATAGTCTTCATCCTCCTGTTCTTCTTCGCGCGTTGCCCTAGTTCTATAGCCGTGCCTAGTTCTATTACGATTGCGATTTACGAGTTTATTCCCTATATTGCCTTGATTAGTGGCAGTGCTCGAGGTAGGCTGTGGTCGCCGTCGCATTTCCCGCCGCCAGGTTTCTAACTCCATATCAGCCATCGCTTGACTTTACAGATAACATACAGAACGTAAATTAATTCGAGAACCAATACATTCTCCTTTCATATTAATATTAGCATTATATTCAGCATGTTAATTTGTATCACGAATAAAGAATTGATCAACTCATTTAAAGTTCTTACAAAACTTATAACCGTTCTGATATTATTTATCTTATATTATTTTTAAAAATAATGTAACAGACTCAATGAGAAGTAATATAAGAAAAGAGAAGAGAAGAGAGAAATAATATGAGAAAAAATAATATAAGTGATGAGTCTTGCGTAATATTTACATTATTTTATGTTGAGTGTCTTTTGCAGCTGGATTCATGGGACGCGCGAGCATAGGCTTGTTCCACGGGGTGGTGTTATCCCTTTGCCAATTACCGCTGCTTTGCCGAACACCTTCAACGTTGCCCTCTCTCCTCAAACCAGCTCTACTCGCACGGGGACTCGCTATTTGACGAATCGGTTGTTCCGCGACGTTATTATCCCTATCTTCGCCGGCACCGACGGCAATGGCTTCACCATCCGCATTGATATTTTGTCTTTGAGCAAGAGCCTCAATTAATCGATCAATGTTTGATCTTGGCTCTTGTTCCGGAAGACCTTCTATAACTTCTTGCATGCCTGTTAAAAATTTTTTGCCATTACAATTACAACGCAATCATTTGTTTAAAAAAAAAATCTCAAAAAAATTTAAAGAAAAATTGAAAAAAATGTTCTTGCTATTGAACACTAACATTTGTCTTAATAATTAGAACTTTTTAAGATTTGTAATTTGTTTTAGAGCATCGTTTGTATAAATTTTTATCTTACCGCCTGCGCCAACTGCAATATTTGGTACCAATTGCTCGCCCATACAATTTTCTCTTCCCGGCACTAGTCTCTGCAACGCTGGCGGATATGGATTTCCATCTATATCAACCAAAAATGGCGGTGGCATTAAATGCGGCGCAGTTTGTGTTTGTTCATCCAGAACATAATTATTTCCATCTCTTATCAAAGGCCGATAATCCGTGTGGAAGAACAGTTCTTTGGGTACCTGGAAATAATTTAGAAAATTGAAATAATCTGGAAAAACTATAATACAAGATGTAAATGTAATAATGATGTAAATAAAAACTTACAATTTTTAGTTTCTCGACCGAACATCCAAATCCGTACATCAAAAGATGCCCATTAGAATCTGTCGCGGCGAGCCTTGTACCATCGGGCGACCATTTCGCATCAAAAACAGCACAATTTCCCTGGCCTTCAACAAAATTTTGGAAACACACCATCGGCTCTGTATTCAATACGTCCCAAATTATAAGTTGTCCATCATGGCCAGCACTGAGGATCATTCGGGGATCTATTGGATGCGATTCCAGCACAAAGACCTCGTCTTTGTGACCTCGCAAAACCTTCACTAATCCACCCGATTTTGCATTCCACACCTTCAACGTGTAATCATTCACTGCTGTTATAACGAATTCGTCGCTAACGTCCCAACAAACCATGGTTACTTTCGCCTTCTTGTTCGTGTCATCATCCATTTCTGGTTCTCTGTAAAAGAAAAAGAAAAATTTTTTAACACATACTGTATTAAAATTCTTCAGCAGAAGTAAATCCAAATAAAAATGCAACACACCCAGGGAGCTTGGTCGTCATGAGCAGCTGTTTGTGTACCCACTGCTGTTGCTCGAAATGCCATACGTTCGCGGTACCATCTTTGGAACCAGAAATGAATTTCAAGCCATTGTGCGCCCATTGAATACTATCGACCGTGTCGGAATGCGCCTCGATCTCGAGGATTCTGCGTGGCCCTTCGTCCCCTAACATCGCATAAACTCTCACGTTATGATCCGCGGAGCCGGCTGCCATGAATGCGCCCCCGGGACTGAAGGAGGCACAAATCATTTGCGCCTGGCCTGGCCTCATTTTCTCATGGTACTGAATGGGCCTTGTTCTATAACAAAAATTAAAAATGACAATTGTTCTACATAAAAATATTTATAAAAGTTGTGAAAATAAGATATCATAAAAAGAACGTATAAAATAAAGATTTGCATATATGATTGATCAGCTATACTTACTGGAATACCGCTCTCTCCTTCGGTTTTTTTGTGTGAGACCAAAAAGCTACGGATCCATCAGTACTGGTGGAGACCAAATAGTAAACGTCGTTACATACTATCGGACAAAAATTGATGGACGTGATCATGCCTGAATGCCCGGTTAAAACTGCCACCTTGTGAGAAAAATATAATTTACAAATAAATTATATAACTCTCGTATACATACAAAAGAGATTCCATTTTTGTGCGTATATTGTCGCTTTGGCGTACTCACAGGCGACATCGACTGGAAACACCAGACCCGTATCACTCGATCTAAACTGCCCGCCGCCAACAGAGTATTATCGAAATTCACTGCGATGTCCATAATTTCCGCGGACGCGCCTCGGAAAGTGGCGAGCAAACGTCCATCAATGGAACTCCAGATCTTGACCAGCAAATCGTCCGCTCCGGTTATAATGTATTTACCGGTGCGATCAAACAGCACGCAGTAAACCGCGGATAAATGACCCAGCGTATGCCGATACAACTTCATTTTGCTGTAGAACTTGGTCGGTATTGCCTGTCGCCGACTCAAAGGGCCCGAATTCTCACGTCCCTGAAGTACACGTACTACGTCGGGCAAAAAGATAAGCACGATAAAATTATATATCGATATTTTACACAGAAAGCAATAAGTATTAGAATATTGGTCAAGAATGCACGTGACAAATAACTAACTCTCGAGCTCTCTTACCTATGTTAGGTACTGACAAGCTACCGGCCAGTTCCAGGAAAGGTTTTCCATCGAATCTTCCGGAATAATCGAAAATTCTGTACGTATGATGCGTAACATCTGCAGAAACAGAATTTTACAAATGACATTTGACGTATCTTTCAAAAGTAAATGTACATTACTCCAGAAAATATCAACTATATTAAGATTCGGTTCCACAAACGTAAGATTAACTTTAATCTCGATTTAACTTACTGTTTATCTCTTTTTAATTCTTAGATTAGAAAAAGAAAGAGCGAGTTGAACTTCGAGTTAATCGCGAATTGTGAAACCGAGCCTAAAGAGTATAACTGATGTTGACTTTTGTGTTTTCATACCGTCGAGGGTACGCAGCAAGGATTGCCTGCCCGCACCCAGAAGCGATGTCACTCCACGAACGCATGGTGGCACTTCTTTCTCCAACACTGGTCCTATTCTGGCACATATTTGCAACAAGTAATTCGACCCAATGTGGGGGTATCTCTTCTCCTAAAAAGATTTACATAATTTCTCAATAAATCGCTATAAAATAATCAACAAATATTAGACATGTAAAAATTTGGTATCTATAAAATCAATGCACAGAGTCATGTTAAAGGATGTTGGAATTAATTCGCAGAATATTCGCAACAAGAAATCGTAGACTTAGTTTCAATATCTAAAAATATAAATATAATATTCTAAATTCTTCATGCTAAAGCCCAGCTGGAACATAGAAAAACGTAAAGCAGTAAGACGTAAGCAGTAAGTGAATTGACCGATTTGCTTACCGCTTACGTCTTACTGCTTTATGTTTTTCTATGTGCCACGGGCTTTAGCATGAAGAATTTAGAACCATGCTTAAACGTGTAAAAACTCGAGAATCGACCAAGATTAATTTCATTTAATGCAAAAAAAAGTACCGTATATAATTGGAAATTAATGTTCCCGAATTGTCAGCGCTCAAGATCGTTCGATTTTAATAATATCGTCGCACTGAACATTCGCGCGAAAGATTTAAACAATCAAGTAGTTCTCTACGTCTGGCGAATCGGTACTCGCTTACGAACGCGCCGGCCAATCGACGTGGCTCGCTCGTCGCGCACGAGACTACACTCGGCTACACTTCACAAACAAGCCGCAGGCGTCTATATTCATTGATCAGCTCACGCGAAATGGCCGGAAACGCGCAGCGATTGGCCGACGGGCGGCGGCGGTGGGGCGAACCGTGGCGAACGGTCACGGCGTGGGTGCGACAGAGAGGGAAAGAGCGTCGAGCGACGCGAGAGGAATCACGGCGAAGGCAGGCGGTGGGATCAAAAGGGGGTAGAGCAACCCCCCGCGGATCGACGGGGGTACTCGGCTTGCGCTCGGCGCATTATTTCATCGAACCACCTTGCGACGCGGCCCGAGTCTCCCCGCGGGACTCGCGTCGCGCGGTGACCCGAGGGGGCCCCAACACGCTCGCGCCCCGCCGTTGCCGATCGCCATGTCGCGCGACGGTAACATGCTCACACTCACCAGCTCCTCGAACGTCTGACTGTGTACGTTGCCCTCCCAGTCGCGTCGCGACGGCAGTACCTGCGAAACAAGAGGCGTGATCTAAAATCTATACGGGGGATGATCGTATAGGGGAGGGAGGGGAAAAAAAAATCCAATGCCGATCGATCGGCGGGCTCGATCGGCGATCGCCGATCGGGCACCGCGAGCGGCCGCGATACCTCGCGGCCGACCAAGGTCAGTGACCTTGAGATTCTAATGTTTTGACAAGCAGAAACCACGTGCGAGCCATGTGGTCCGCGGGACGCGTTGTATACAGTGTCGGGCCCGCCGTACGGCTTACCTTGGTACGCTCCAATTCCCGCTTCAGCACCTGAAACAAAGCGCGTTGAGTGCTCGCGCGACGCGCTCGCTGGGCTCGTACGCGTTACACGAGCCGCGGCCCGGGTTATCGTGTCTACTTACCGTCGCGGCCTCCGGACAGAAGCCCGCGTCGAGAAACTTCGCGATCAGGAAGTACAGCTCTGGAAAAAGAGAAGAGATGCGCGGGGCGCTTTAGTAACGGCGGCACGTACGGCGTGGACGGCACAGCACATCGCTCGTCCGTGTCGCACGCGATTCCGTTGCGGCGCGATTCCGCGTTTACCTGGCGTGATCCCGGACACGTTCCCGGACGCGCTGCCCTCCATCCCGGCTGATCCGACCGATTTCCTATTTACTCCAGAAACGACGACGGAACATCGGGCTTACGGCTCGTAGCGCCGTGCTAACCACCGCGGAGTTCATTTTCTCTAGTCCGAGACCGTGACGCGCACACGCGAGCTCGCCTACCCGACGCGAAATAGTCCCCCAATGGCGGAGCGCCGCGCCGTACAGCGGACAGGCGCGTAAGCGGCGCCGCGCGGTGCCCCGGCGAGTTCACGCCGTCACGTCGCCCGGGAATTTTTCGCCGTTACCGCCGTGAGTGCGGGATTCTCCGCGCGTGATCGAACGATCGATCGCCGTGTTCCTGACGAACTCCGCAAGACCGTACGAAAAAATCTCATGCGTCGCACAATCGTCGCAGCGAACATGGCGAACATCCGGATTACATCATCCGGGAACCTATCGGCGAGACGATGAATCCACCATTGAGCGCGGCACGCTTGAAAGGTGTTTTGCACCTCAGGCCTCGATCCGCGGATTCCGCAAGACGAAATTGCACATCGTGCAGTAAATGTTTTACAGAAACTCGAGGGGTAGTGAAAAAGTATTCACTGACGTGAATAAGTACACAAATATTACGTTGATTCGCCAGCGATGCCACCTGAAATGTAACATTTCCGTTGTGAGAGCGAATCCAAAAGCTAAGAAAAAAAACGTTCGATGATGTTCGTGCGCGCGATGATCGACGAAGATCGCGAGAGAAGTAGCGAAAAATTATGTATTAAAATTACATGTAAAAGAAAATTGTTATCGCTCACGTTACTCGTCTTATACCCGTACACATCTTCGATCCGCACAGCCACTCGGATGTACAACCAATCGATATCCGTAAATCGAAAAAGATCATCGCATTGACCCGCAATCAGGAAATGCAACGCGCGTATCGATCCGAGTAGTAAGGTGTAGTAATTTATTGCGTCGGCTGCAGACACGCGATTGTGTTCTCATTCTCGACAACCGACGCAGAATGAATTAGTTTTATTAGTTCATGCGTGAATTTACAGAACAAGGTTTATTTATCGGGACATATACATGTATCCTCCTTATTTTTTTGCAACCGCACGTTGGTAAGTAAAATGTTGGGAAAGGAGAGGAATAATGAAAACGCGCGATCGCGAAAATGCAGGACAGAATTACGGCACGTGTAATACGCGTGTAAGTATGCCATGTGAGGGCGTGCGATGCGCGTACATATATATGATATGTGTACACACACACACATACACACACACACATATATGTATATGTTATACACACATTAAATTTGTCATATTGCTTAAAAGCCTGAAAGAAATTTTTTTGCGTTTAAAACAAAATAAATTGAGATAAATATGTATTTGGATATCAATGAGAGAAAGCGAAAATTCTAAGTGTAAAAATGTAAGTACACGCAGATCTGTTATCACACACACATACACACACGTGTGTTACATGTAATGGATAAGCGATGAATCCGCTTTGTAAAAAATTGGAATATGCAACATATGCAATTACATTCGGATCCACCGTCGCTAGGTGTCCTACCTTCGCGATACGCGCCTGCACTGCGAAGTGCTGCAACTCACTTCACGTGAACGTGAGTTCATCGCTGACATGGCGGACCGCGATGGACGAACGGGAGGATGGGGCGTCGCGAGGGATCGCATTCCTCGCATGCTCGCGCGTATGTCGTATACGTGTTGAATGTCGGCGACGCTGGGGCAATCATTGATGCTCGATTCAGATTTGACGACGCGAGAGAAAATGCCCGTCCACAAATATTACGATATAGTTTCTTTGGGCTTTAGATGAGAGAGAAAGAGAGAAAACAAGAGTGAAGAAAGACAGAGTCCGCAAATAAGTTGTGGCCGCCCACTCTTGTCGGCGTTTCGTTAAGAGGCGGCAGCGAGGACAGCCTCGAGGATAACCTAACGTATCGTCGAAATTATGTTTGCGATGCATAGATAACACGTATAATGACAACTGCGAAGACAACGCGGAAGCTAAGGCACAATTTATTGTAATAGTTTCATTTACGTTACGAAGGTTACACGATGACTGGCAGCTGATAATTGTCACTATCGCGATCGAGTGCTGTAAATACGTGGTGCGCGCTCGCCGTCGAGTATATTGACTGCTACTGGACAGCGAACGGAAACGTTTCGACGAGGAATCAGTTAAGGGGTAAATTGTACATTTTTGCACGTCCGTACGTGAAATTCGGAGTAAACGATGTCCTGGATATGCGAACGCACCACGAACTGGTTTCAAACCCTGGCTTTAAGGATCCTAAAGACCGGCAGGGTGCCCAGACACGTGGCGTTTATCATGGACGGTAATAGACGTTACGCGAATAAGCAGAAAATGAGAAAAGGGGAGGGACATTCAAAAGGGTGCGTATCTTTGAAGAGAGTTTTTGTAGACATTATCTATATTCGTCTCGTATCTCACGCTACATTTGCGACAGGTTTGAAAAAATGTCGGAGACGTTGAACTGGTGCATGGATCTTGGTGTTGAAGAGGTCACAGTTTACGCTTTTAGCATAGAGAACTTCAAACGTAGCAAAGAGGAAGTTGATGATATCATGGACCTTGCCAGACAGAAGTTCAAGCGTCTCCTAGAAGAGAAGTATGCGTGATATATTAAATCAGGCGTCGCAGCGCAATTGTAGATTTTTTTTTGTTACAAATGTAAATAATTTCCAGGGACAAATTGATGGAAGTTGGAGTATGCATTCGCGTGTACGGCAATATGTCCAGGCTTCCAGAAGATTTACGCCAATTAATTGCTGAAGCTATGGTCGTTACTAGAGAAAATAACAGAGCAGTTTTAAATCTTGCTTTCCCTTATACATGTAAGTATAATTACTGTAAATCATATTTATGCTCACACTCGATGTTTACATTTTATGCTAAATGTGAATAAAAATTTACTTCAAAATATTAAACGTTATACGGGGTGTCCCGAAATTCGCAAATCAAAATGTCAGCAATAAAGTCTTCGAAAAATTAAGTATAGTTACTTGTACATTTTTACTTAGGGCAGTAGTTTTTCAGATGGTTCAAACTGGGCCAATTATAGATTATAATTAAATGGAAACATTTCTATAAATAGCGCGTCGATAGTGTTAGTGACTAGTTATTGCGCATTTCACGAGCGTAATCTATAATTGGCTAAATTTAAACTCTTAAAAACTATTACTTAAAAGAGAAATTTATAAATACTTTTTTACTTAATTTTTCGAAGGTTTTCTTGCTATGATATTTTGATTCGCAAATTTTGGGACATCCTATACATACATAAAATTTTCAAAATTATATTTTTTTATATTTTTTAATCTCTGCAGCAAGGGATGAAATTACTCATGCAATTAAGGATATAGCCAAGGGTGTAAAGCATAATGATATCTTACCAGAAGATATTGATGAAGATTTGATTACTGACTGTTTGTACACCTACAAATCTTCAAATCCAGATTTATTAATTCGTACTTCCGGAGAGACTCGAATTAGCGACTTCCTCATGTGGCAAGTAAGAAGACGTATTTCATTGTGACTTGAATATATTTCGTCTTCTAATTCATCAAAACAGAAAATCTGCATTTAAAATTTTTTATCCAAATTTTTTTTAGATTTCCAACACTTGCATCTACTTTACCGAAGTATTGTGGCCTGAATTCAGTTTATGGGATTTTCTCAGTGCAATTTTTTATTATCAGAAATGTTATCCTGATTTGCAAAAAATAAGAAACAATTTAAAACCAATTGTACATAACAGTAAAGTATCCACGTTTGTTGACAAATTGCACAACGAACGCGACATTATGATAGAAAAAATGTATCTATCAGCAGTTCAATCTTAGAAACAATTGAATTATTCCAATAAGTATAAGTGTCAGTGAACATGCTGAAAAGCTGCAAGTATTTTGCTTCAAATCAACTTTCCATTATAATATAATTTTAGGTCTCAGGTAATTTTATTCTATTTTGTAAATTTGTTTATCTGCCAAATTACTACAGCAATTAAATTATATTTGCGTCAACAAAATTAAATTGATAATAAATTTCCAGTTATACATGTAAGTTTATAATTATATGTAGGAACTAGTCAAGCGATTAAACAAAGACAATTATGTGTAAAAACTTATGTCAAAATTAATACAAATTTTGTTTTATTGACACGTTTACACCGTGGAACTCAGGGAGATAGATACTTTTAGTTATATAAGATGTTTTAGAAAACAAAAATAATAAAGAATTAAATCGTTAAAATATGTAAACTGAACAAGATCTAATACTGAAACGCTTGAACAATTACTAAAATTTTTATTTGTACAGATTCTTTTTCATATTTCTCTTGTATAAACATGATATGTAAAATAGATTCATTCTTATTAGATAATTAGGAGATACTCGTATGTATAGATAAAATACGTATAAGACATGCATAACTAATTTGTCGAACAATCAATCTTGCCAATAAGATAATTTAATAATGAATTGTAACAATTTCAACAAATATTAGTATTCCGTTAGTATCGAATAGTTTGTTTTCTGAAACGTCGTAATCATAGCTAAATGTAGATATTAATGAAATTCGCTTCCATATCGTGTTGTATGTTATAGCGGATTTATTATGTCTCTGTATGTAACATTCCATACATTTGGTTTTCCAGTTGTTCGTCGCTGCTATGTGCATTGTAGAATTGTAAAATAAAATTGTAAAACAAATATCTAATAACATAAAATATACATATGTCAAATAAATAATGTTAATCATAATATTAACGCGTGATTATAAAGATATAAATATACGAATAAGTTCTTTACGTTACAATATTTATGTAATATATAATTTATATGTATATTATATTTTTCAAATCTGAGAGATGTGTATATAGAGCGGCCTATACATTATTTACACTGTTTCATCATGTATTTTTGCACAAAGCAAATAACAATGTTTATGAATGTACATTTAGCGTGAATCACTTTATCGAAATAAGAATCAACATGTAAGTATACACAATTTTCAAATAATAATAATAATTTGTTCTTTATCAGCATTTAAAATATCTCTATATGAGATAAAATCTGTTCATACTACAGAATATTCAACATCTTGCGTAATATTTAGCCTATCGCGAGACGTAAAATATTCCAGTATCTATAATCTTATTTACAACTTAATACATATCTTTTGTATTGAACCTGATTAAAATAATGATAAACATTTACGATATAGATACAATCTTGGAAATATACAATTTAGTTCGCTTTTCTAACTATTGGAGATATTCGTGCTATTACTTTTATTTTTTTACAAACTCGTTAAAGATATAGGAACATGTGTGTTGGCACATCTCTAATAGCTAGAAAATCTTCGTTTACATTTGAATAAAAATCTGAAATCGACTGTTAAATCTTTGATGATTTTACAGGAAGACAAAAAAATTGGCTGGATATACCTGTATCCAATATATATAAAATAATTAAAGAGGGTCTTATTTGTTAAGTTTGTAAACACAGTTTCTATTATTAATTCTACAAGACTTGGTAAAAAATTAATCTTTTTGTTCTGAATCATTCAATTGTATCTACATCGAATGAAATAGTATCAATTGAGATAATTGTAACAGGGAGATAAATGTGACTTTTAATATTATCTATGAGTTAAAAAAAATGACGCTAAATATTAAATCAACGGTTGAATAAATCTGTTAAGTGAATATATCGTGTTAAGTTCATGAATTCAAATATGTTCAACAGCACATTTATCGCACTGTTGACACTGCCTCAAATGATCAATTAAACACTTCGTAGTAATACTGAAGTGTTAAATCAACTTGCTTTTGCGTGTCTCCTTATTTCGAGTTATAAGGCGGATAACGTCTCGTCGAGGGTTGCCTCTGTCTGGCAAGAAAGGATTGACCTTGTCCCGAACTGAGCGTCGCGAGCCGCTGATCCAACACCTCTCTGTGGCAATTCAGACCGAGTCTGTGAAAGGCGGTCACCATCAGCTTCTCCTCCATGTCTCGCAGCAGCCTGGACTCCTTCATGGAGCGCTCCATTTCCTCGATCATCTTGCGCTGCTCCATCAGCTGGTTGCGCAACACGACGACGTCACTCTGCGAGGAATTGCTCTGCTTCAGGTCGAGGCTCTTTATGACACTCTTGGCCTTCTCGGTGTACTTCTTGTGGCGTTCCTCGAGCGCGGCGTTCTCGTACTCCTTCCGCGTGAGCTTCTCCTGAAGAGCAAAGGCCTTCTGCTTCTGCGCCTGCAGAGCGCTCTCACGTTCCTCGAGCTGCAGCGTCAGCCGTTCTCGGTCGGTTTGCGCTTTGCGCAGTTCGTCCTGCAGCTGCAACATCTTCTGATTCAGGCCGACGTTGTCGCTCTTGCTGTCGCTGCCGACCTGAATACCCATGGCCTCCTCTAATTTGTTCTCCAACTCCATTATCCTCTGATTCGCCTTGCGATTTTGCCCACGCAGCGTGTTCAAGCGCTCCTCGGAATCCTCGAGCAACGCCTGCACGCTCGGCAGTTTGTCGTCGTTGCCGGTCAGCTTCATCTTCAGCATCTTGTTCTCCAGCTGCAGGCAAAGGAGCTTCTCCTTGACCTCAAGCGGGATCATCTCCGTCGCGGAAACCCCGGTACTGTCGGCACTGGGTTTCGCCATGTTCTCGACGGCCTGCAGTTGCGTGCACTTCAACTCCTCGTTCGTCTCCTTCAGGGCGTCCCTTTCGATGATCAATCGATCTCTCTCCCTCTGCAGAGCGCCCAACTTTGCCTCCATTTTCTTGCCCTCGAACTCCAGCCGATCGTTCTTGTTACTCTGCTCGTCCAGCCTGTGATGGACTTCCGTGAGCTGCTGCTTGCACACCTCCAAGTGATTGCGCAGCATCGTCGTGCGCTTAACTTCCTCCTCGTAATCCAACTTGTATTGCAAATACTCGACGTTCTTATCCTCTAGTATCTTCATCTGTCTCTTAAGATCGCTCATATCTTCCATCTTCTTCTTGTACGATTCTATCATGATCTCGTACTTCGCCACCTTGTCCGTGGTTTCCCTTAAGGCGTCCACCTCATCCTTCAGATGATTCGACTCGTCAGCCGCCTTTTGCAGATCCTCCTGCCTCGACTGCAGCTCCAGCACTTCCTTCTCCAACAGCTCCACCTTTAATCTGTAGTCATCCCTAGACGTCTCGATCTTGAACAGCTCGTCCTTCAACTCGTCCACTTGCTTCCGCAGCCCGGAGTACTTGACGATGGACCCGGACTCCTCCGGGTTCTCGAACTCGTCCAGCCGCTCCTGGAGCTTCTTATTCTCCGCGATTAGCGCGATCTTCTCTTCCTGCAGCAGAGAGAGTTGCTGGTCGAGCTCGTGGCATCGCTGCGCCAGCTGGTCCTTCATGTCCACCGCCGCCTGGAGCTCGGCGAAGAGTCTCTGCTGAGCGCCGTCCGTCACGTCCACGAAAGACTCGCAGTTCACCTCCTGGATGCTCTGCATTATCGCCCGCTGCACCGTCTCCTCCATACCCATTATCCTGGTGATGTACTGCTGCTTCTGGTCGCAGCTGACGGCGCAGCCGAGGATCAGCTGCAGCAGGCGGCGCAGCTCGTCGTTGTCGCAGTGCTCGCCGATCTTGTTCGCGTCCGGCTTGACGAAGCCGGCCAGCTGCTGATTCAGGCACTCGGCGTAGTACTCCACCACAGCCTCCACGATCTTCTTCATGTTGCTGACTCTGAGGCGCCAGTTGGTGCCCACGTCGGTCTTGATCTTCGTCCTCCACACCGCCGTGAACCATTCCGGCGCGATCTTGGCCAGGGCCTCCGCCAGTGCGACCCCGTCGCTGATCTCCTCCGCGGAGCCGTGTGGCGCCTGGAGGTCGAAGGTACTCAGCCACTTGATCAGGTAGCCCAACTGCTGCTGATAGTCCCCCATCTTGTTCCTTCTCTTCCTCCCTGATGGAGCGCTCCGAGAATGAGGCCCGCTGACGACTCGTCGATCCGGTCAAATTCTGCCAGTCGCGTCGCCCTTGTGACCGCGACTCCCGGTTGAACTCATAATCCCGCAACGTCGTCGCACGTCGAATCGGGGACACCGCGATGATCTGCGGCAGATTAGACGTGGCCAAGGACAGCTGTCCGCTCTCGTCCGTGCCGTGCGCGTACTCGAGTTAACCAAGAAACGAGAAATGGGCCACTGTCATCGCGCGTCGACACGGTCCGATAGCGCCTTATCGAGGCGGAAATTCGAGCACCACCTCGGATAACAATTTGTTCACGTAGCCCGCGATAATCGTATGGTGCGCGTCAGCCGACGAGGGGAAGGTCCGGGCTGGTCATCGTTACACGGAATTTCCCTTCGCGTACCTAGGAGATAAAATGAGATAAAAACGAGGTTCGGTCACCAGCGTTACGTGCACCTCGCACTTCCCTTTCCACCGAATTACCTCGTGTTCTTCCCACCGAAGGATATAGCTCGTCCTGCCTGTCTCGTTCCAATCTCCGTCGAGAGGTCCGTGATCTTGTCGGATCACGGAGAGGAGTTTGACGTTTCTCCCTTCGGAAAGCGTGACGAGGGGAAGATCCACAGCGATTGGAATCCAGCTGTCGCGGCTTGTATCTTCGAACGATCGTGCAGTGATTGAGCGAAAAGAGGCACTCGAACGATCGAGATTGATCGATCCGGCGTGTATTTGCGAACGGGGAACAAAAATTTGTATTATATTTACATCGTTTTGTGAAAAAGGTACAAAGGAGCACGGAAACGGGGGGCCTGGGTAGCATACGTAATGATGTATGTGTGTGTGTATGTGTGTGTTGTGTGTATGGTAGGCAGGTTAGGATGAAATAGTAAGGATACACTCCAAAATGTTGCTCCCAAATTTTATTAAAAATCTGTAGCATATGTAACGTAAACTAGAGCTTTTTAGTAAAATTTTTTTCGAAAGCAACGTAACCAGCTAGGTTAGAGTCCTATCCTGTAATTTTTAATTAACAATATTATTATTGAATGATTGTTGTCTTATTGACTTTTCTTATTTTCTAACAACAAAATATAGCAATAAAATTGTCATAAGATCAACAGCTAGAAAGATGTTGACGATTTATGATTCAGATTTACAATTTTGTTGTCAATGAATGAATAAATAAATAAGTTATTCATAGAAAAGGAAAAGTTGTTCACTAACAATAAAATTAGACATAGGTTTGTTGTAAAAAGTGAATACTGTAAAGGAAAATAGAAGATATATTGAGAAAAATTTTTCCAAGATATTTTTACAACGAACTTACATCTAATCTTATTGAAAATTCTTTTATTATATCTATTTAAATATTATCATCATATAAATTTTATCACGTAAAACTTAAAGCTTCATATAAAGAGTATAAGACTCTCAGAAACTAAATTGATGAACTCCACTTAATTTTAATTTTAGTGTTTAAGTGTCAGAATTTAGTTCTTCATTTTAAAACGCACGACAATGAGTTCATAACTTCATCAATCAATCATTTTCTTATTATTTTATAGAGTTGATCAATTTGATTTCAAAGTTATATATATATGCACACGTTTAACTTTTTTATTTGCGAAATAATATAAGATTGTCTTTCCAAGTAATGGCATAATATACAAAATTTCTCCCTTTTGTTCAGATTATAAATCACCCTGAGAAAATGTTCTTGGCGAGAGTCATTAGAAAATCCGCGGTGGCGGTGAGCCCGGTCAAGCAGAAATGTAAGCTGTATTCGCATCACGCACCATCGAGGACTACAGTTCATCCTACCATCCCTTTGGGGTCGTTGCGATTTTGCAGCGACAAGCCGCCCAAGTGTTGGAATTGCGACTACGTGTACAGGTCCGAGCTGTTCTGCTCGAAGTGCAAAGTGCTGCAGGAATTGCCGCAGAACCTGAACTATTTCGATATCATGGGAATCAAGAGGGATTACAATGTGGTGAATGAGGAAATTCACAAGAAGTATAGGGAGCTGCAGAAAATGCTGCACCCCGATAAGTTCGGTAACAAAACTGAGGTAGGTGTATTCGTCGAGCAACTCGGACGATCTTCTCTCGGAAGTTTCTCGAATTTACGATAACCGTAACTTTCCTTCCTTGTCTCTGTAAGTGAAATTTTTATTTTAACTGTCGATAGAAAGAAAGGCAAATCTCAGAGAAGTTGTCGTCTCTAATAAATAAGGCTTACAGTACGTTGGCGCATCCATTAAAACGAGGATTGTATATGTTGCAATTAAAAGGTATATCAATACCAGAAGGCACTACCAGCCTGAATCCAGAATTCCTCATGGAGATTATGGAACGTAACGAAGAGATAGAAAACGCGATAGAGGACAAAGTTAAGGTCTTGAGACTAGCCAAAGAATCTAAGGAACTGCTCGATACAATGTCGAAGTAATCTCTATTTTCAATAGTTTTTAAATAAGTTTAAATTAATATTGAAATAGTTTTTAGTACTTCACGTTATTCTTTTCAACTCTGTTTTTTTTTTCCAGGCAAGTGGCAGAGGCCTTTAGTAAAAACGACATTGAAATGGCAACAAAGATTTTGATAAAAATGAAATATTACGATACCGTGGATATTAGATTAAAGAAACTAAAGCACGATTTAGGTATAGTAGAATAAATATATATAAATATGTTGCAATGCTTTTGCAAATATTCTTTTCTCTCACACGAAAAATTTTAATATCCCCTTGCTCGCTGTATAAAATGTAAACTATGTTTTTCTATTGTATTACATACATATACATCTAATGTGAATAGATTTTTGGATCTTAGAACTCTTGTATATATGTACAATCGCATTTTATCACGTTGATAAACTCGTTTAGTTGTAACAAATCGTAGGATAAGTTTATATATATTGTTATTTTAATTGATTTATTTTAGATAATGTAAATATAACGAGAATTGAAAAAATGTACACTATTTATTTAGCTCACGCTCTAGTTCCCACTGTTCCAGCCAGTCAAGTATTTTATTTAAATTTGTCGTCATCTGCGGTAGAGTGTCACTCTGTAACTCATGCACTATTTCTTCCCGGTAGGAGTTTCTCGCCTCTTCAAGAGCAGTTTGAAAAATTTCACATTCTATATTGTCCTTCAGCTTCTTTCCGCTGTAGCCTCTGTTAGCGAGACGGTCGTACAAGACAGTTGTGTTCGTTCTGAGCACGAATACGACGTCAAACCACCTTTCAGGGAAGAACTCGTTACTGTGATAGTCCACGATTTGTCCCCCTTTGCTCATATACTCTTCCATATGGTCCATCAGCTACAACAAGATGTCGTAAACAAAGATGTGTTAAACATGTAGACAGTATAATATAATATGCGGCAAATATTTTATAATTTAGGTTCTTTATAGCTGAACTAGCTGCTACTAGTTCACAGTTTATTTTTCTCTTTTTACAATCATCGCAAGAAGAAAGATAAACTGTGAGCTAGTACAGCCAGTTCAGCTATAAAGAACAGGTCTTTTTGTTCTAAATTTTATTCTAAATTTTGCAATTTGTAATGAAACGTAATCACGACGACGAGAGATGTTACCTGATCTTCATCCAACACTTTGCATTTGTATTCTTCGTCGTATTCCTCCGCACATCCAAGCTCGATGGCTAATTTACTGACATCGAGCCAGTTTAGTTCGGTGCGCTCCGTGAGACAGTACGACATAAAGCTCTTGCCCACGCCAGGTGTGCCTGAAAAACATTGACAATTATCAAGAAATATTCAGGGATTTATACTAAATAACTACAATGTCATCACAGACCTGTTATCAGAATGTTAGGCAGGCGTTTAGACATCTTGAATATCTTGCAGAAATTAAATGCAACACCCAGTCAGTTGTCACAGTCACCTACTCCTCTCCGTTTCTTTTTTTCTTCTGTTTCGAGAAGGGATTTCTGACATCAAACTTTCTAAACGAAAAAGCGGTCGATATTCAATTATTTTTTTTAACAGCACAATGAATGTTGAAAAAACACGATATTTTGAGTGCAAAAACGATGGGCAATGATAAAGATGCAATTTATGTGCGTCTGTAGCGTACTGAGCTCGAGTCCGTATTATGTTTTAGTAATGCTCTGACATGTATGCTAGTCCCAAGAATTGTATTGATGCTGATCTCTCCTAATTACTCCCAATCCTCCGATCTCCAATCCTCTATGCAGAATAACGCCCGTGTCAGACTAAAGATTGAGATTGAGATTAGATTGAAAATTGACCGATCAAAACAAAGTTTTACTAAATTTGAGATTGGTTTTCTTTCTTTTATAATAGTTAGTTAAATCCCAATTCAATATCAACCTCAATCTTCAGTCATACGGGCTGACCACGTGCAGCACTTCTGAGTTTTCGACTACTGACACTACTGTTGTCCATGGTATAAATAGACCGAGCATGCTAGGCATCGGCAGCACGTGCGAGAGAGGGGGAACAACATCCTCTCTTTTCTCTCTCTCTGATAGCGCATTCGATTTGTTGACTCGATCCGACTCCGAGTTGCTCCGAGTCAGGGATCTGTTTTTTTTTTAGCTGTGTTTCTTGCATGGCTCGGCTCTTCTTTTACAGTTAAAAGGGTGATTATCTAATTTAGCGACTTTCAATATCGATAAAATGGTATCTGAAAAGAATAGACCATCGACTTTGAATCGGATCGAGTCAGCAAATAGAATTTATCGAAAAAAGAAAATCAGGTGTTGTTCTCACTCTCTCTTTCTCTCTCTCTTTCTCTCGCCACGTGCCGCCTATGCGCGTAGCGTGGCGCACACGGGACTCGAGCGCTGATTGGACGGTCCAATTTACGCCTATAATAATACCTCGTCGGTATCGACAGTCGTATATACGGTCGGTACACACAGTTCCCAGTTTAGGACAGGCAGCGCCACGGAGGAGACGGACGTCTACGTCGAGAGCATGCTCCGTGAACCACGGGTGCAACGTAACACGTGTTAGGTCGGGTACGTTTACTTGTAGAGAGAAGATCCAGAAGAAACGTAGTGTGGCTCCGCTGGCAACGTAACCGAGCTCCTCGCCGCCGAATCCCGTAAGATCGGTTTTAACCGTCGCTATATCGGTATCGCGATAAATCGGATTCGCGTGTCGCGATGCCGCCTCCGCGCCGTCGTCTCGCGCACGGCGTCCGAGGTCGCGTTCGGGGCCGCCGGATTGCTCAGGGTGACGAAGTGCATACCTACGGTAAACGGTAAGCGAGCTGGCCCCGCGCACGGTGACGGCGACCAAGCTGGCTCGCGGAGTCATCGCGGTC